AAAAAACAAAACAAACAAACAGTGCTGTTCTGTTGTAGAATAACATGCAGAATTTGAGCCTGTTTTTATTTAAAGAGATAAACACAAATGTTTGGGAGGAAACACATTAGTGAGATGGAGAGCAGTGGTTGTTTTGAGGAGTATACTTGCATCAGGAGCTTTCTGTCTGCTTATTATAGCTTTATGGAAAGGCTTCTGTGGAGCAGTGCTGGGAGCTGAAGCCAGGACAGCACACAAGCCAGGCAAGCACTCTATCACTGAACACTCGAGGCCCTACAGTAAGTCTTGAAATCAGGTACATCATCCAACTATTTTCTTTCTTTCCTTTTTTTTTTAATATTTATTATTTTTATTTTATGTGTATGAGTGTATTGCCTAATGTATTTGAGTACACCCGTGTTGTGTAATGCCACGGAGGTCAGAAGAGGGCTTTGGATTCCCCTGGAACTCAAGTTAAGGACAGTTCAGAGTTGCCATGTGGGTGCTGGGAATCAAACCCAGTCCTCTGCAAGAGCAGTCAGTGCTCTTAACCGCTGAGCCATCTCTCCAGCCCCTTTGTCTTATCTTTAAAGATTGTTTGGTTTCTCTATAAATTTTTCTTGCCTATTTCATCAAAGCAGCCTGCTGGGATGCTGAGTGAGGACTGTGTTAAATCCACGTATCATCTTATAGAAAACAGTCATCTTAATAGCAGTCCCCCATCCAACCTGGGAATGTGGTCAGTTTCTTCAGATGTTTATGGCTTTATTTTCAGCAACACTATAGTTTCCAAGGCAGAAGTCTTATATGTCTTTTGTTAGCTTCAATTCTAGATCTCTGTTATTTTTTTTTAAATATTTTATTATTTTGATTTTATGTGTGTTCGTGTATTGCCTACATGTAGGTAAGTGCAGCCATGTTGTGCAATGCCCACGGAGAAGAGAACAGGATGTTGGATCCCCTGGAACCAGAGTTATGGACAGTTATTAGCTGCCATGTGGGTGCTGGGATTCGAACCCGGGTCTTCTGCAAGAACAGCCAGTGTTCTTAACCACTGAGCCATCTCTTCAGCCCCCAATCTGTTATTTTAAATTGCTATTAGTATTTTAAAAATGAGCTACTCTTTTTCACTTTACAGAACAATTACAAAGAAAATTCAGAGAGTTCCCATATGCCACATACTAAGTTTCTTACATTATTATTTTTTGTAATTCATTTCTTTCTTTTGGTTAATTCGGCTAGCGGTCTGTCAATCTTGTTTATCTTTTCAAAGAACCAGCTCTTGGAATTGTTGATTCTTTGTATTGTTTTCTTTGATTCAATTTCATTGATTTCCGCCCTGATTTTTGTAATTTCTTCTTGTTTGCAGGGT